AAGAGGAAGGCGCACTTCCAAGCTCTTTCTATGAAGCAAGCATTACCCTAATTAAAAAATCAGATAAAAACACCATAAAAAAGAGAACTACAAGCCAATATCCTTGATGAACATCAATGCTAAAATCCTCAACAAAATTCTAGCACATCAGATTCACCATTATAAAGATCATACACCATGACCAAGTGGGATTTATTATGGGGTGCAAGGATGGTACACTATCTGCAAATCAATAAAAGTGATACATCACATAAGCAAATTGAGAGACACAAATCAAATAATCATATCAATCGATGCAGAAAAAAGCATTTGACAAAATCCAACATCCTTTCTTGATAAAAAGTCTCAGCAAAGTGGGAATAGAGGGATCATACCTGAACATAGTAAAAGCCTTTTATGACAAACCTACAGCCAGCATCTTACTTAATGGGCAAAGACTAAACTAATTTCCCCTGACAATGGGAACAAAACAGCCATGCCCACTTTCACCACTCCTGTTCGACATAGTACTGAAGTGCTAGCCATTGTGAACAGACAAGAAGAAGAAATAAAAGGCATCCAAATTGGAAAAGAAGAAGTAAAACTGTCCTTTTTCGCAGATGACATGATACTACATAGAAAACCCGAAAGACTCCATCAAAAAACTGCTAGACCTAATAAATGAATTTGGCAATGTAGCAGGATACAAAATTAACACCCAGAAATCTATGGCCTTTTTATACACGAATAATGAACTCACAGAAAGAGAAACAAACAAACAAAAAAACAATCACATTTACCATTGCAACCAAAAAATTTAATATATCTAGGAATAAACTTAACTAAAGAAGTAAAAGACCTGTTACTCATAAAACTACAGGGCATTAAAAAAAGGAATAGAGGAAAGATATAAACAGATGGAAGAACATACAATGTTCATGAATTGGTAGAATAAACATCATTAAAATTTCCATATTATGCAAAGCAATCTACAGATTCAATGTAATCCCCATTAAAATACCAATGGCATACTTCAAAGATCTAGAACAAACTCTCCAAAAATTCATCTGCAATAGAAAAGACCTCAAATAACCACAGTAATCTTGAGAAAGAAGAACAAATTTGGAGGGATCACAATATCACATTTCAAGCTATATTACCAAGCCACAGTTCTCAAAACTGCCTGGTACTGACACAAGATCAGACATATAGACCAATGAAATAGAATAGAGAACTCAGAAATCGACCCAAGCCATTATGCTCAATTAATATTTGACAAAGGAGGCAAGAGCATACAATGGAGTGAGGACAGACTAATAAATGGTGTTGGGAAATTCAGTCAGATACATGCAAAAAAATGAAACTAGATCACCAACTTACACCATACACAAAAAAACTCAAAATGGCTAAAGAACTTTAATGTAAGACGGGAAACCACAAAAATCCTATAAGACTCCATAGGCAGCAAAATTGCAGACATATGTCATAGAAATATCTTTACAGACACAGCTCCGAGGGCAATGGAGACAAAGGAAGAAAATAAACAAATGGGACTACATCAAATTAAAAAGCTTCTGCACAGCAAAAGAAACCATCCACAAAACAATAAGAAAGCCCACTGCATGGGAAAACTTATTTGCCAATGATATTTCAGATAAGGGTTTAATCTCCAAAATTTATAGAGTATTCATACAACTTAACAAAAGGAAGATAAACAACCCAATCAATAAATGGTCAAAGGATCTCAGTAGACACTTTTTGAAAGAGGACATACAGAAGGCCGACAGACATATGAAAACATACTCAGAGTCATAATCATCCGAGATGCAAATCAAAACAACGAGATACCATCTCACACCTCTCAGAATGGCTATCATCAACAAATCAACAAATGAAAAGTGCTGGCGAGGATGTGGAGAAAGAGTAACCATCATGCACTGCTGGTGGAAATGCAGACTGGTGCAACCACTGGGGAAGACAGTATGGAGTTTCCTCAAAAAGTTAAAAATGGAACTCCCATTTGACCCAGTAATCCCACTTCTAGGACTATATCCCAAGAATCCAGCAACACCATTCAGAAAGAATACATGCACCCCTATGTTCATAGTAGCACAATTTACAATAGCTAAGATTTGGAAACAGCCTAAATGCCCATCAGCAGATGAGTGGATTAGAAAACTGTGGTACATCTACACAATGGAATACTATGCTGCTATAAAAAAGAAGGAATTCTCTGGAGAGCATTATGCTAAGTGAAATAAGCCTGTCAGTGAAAGAAAAATACCACATGATCTCACTCATTTATGGATAATAAAGAACATTATATACTGATGAACACAAACAGATACAGAGGTAGAGAAGCATCAAACAGACTGTCAAACAACAGCGGGAAGTGTGGGTAGGGTTGGGGGGCGGGTGGAGGTAAGAGATCAACTGAAGGACTTGTTTGCGTGCATATAAGCATAACCAATGGATGCAAGACACTGGGAGGAGGGTGAGGGAATGTGCCGGGGAGTAGGGCAGGCTGGGGGAAGGTCAATTGGGGGGACAAAAAGGAGACCTATGTACTACTATTTGTAATACTTTAAACAATAAAAAAGACTGATGAACACAAACAGATACAGAGGTAGAGAAGCATCAAACAGACTGTCAAACAACAGCGGGAAGTGTGGGTAGGGTTGGGGGGCGGGTGGAGGTAAGAGATCAACTGAAGGACTTGTTTGCGTGCATATAAGCATAACCAATGGATGCAAGACACTGGGAGGAGGGTGAGGGAATGTGCCGGGGAGTAGGGCAGGCTGGGGGAAGGTCAATTGGGGGGACAAAAAGGAGACCTATGTACTACTATTTGTAATACTTTAAACAATAAAAAAGGAAAAAATTTTATAAAAAACAAAAGTTTGGTACATCTACACAATGGAATACTACAGCGCTATAAAAAAGAAGGAACTTTTACCATTTGCAACAGCATGTATGGAACTGGAGGGCATTAGGCTAAGCGAAATAAGCCAGTGGGAGAAAGATAAATATCACATGATCTCACTCATATGTGGGATATAATGATCAACATTTGATGAACAGGAATAGATCCAGAGACAAATGGCAGGGGAGGGGGCGGTTAGAGAGCAACCAAAGGACTTGTATGCATTCATATTAGCATAATCAATGGACACAGACACTGGGGCGGTGGGGGCTTGTCCAGGGTAGAAATGGCTGGCGGTGGGGTGGTCAAGTGGGGAAAAAGGAGGCATATGTAAAACTTTAGACAATAAATAAATTAAAAAAAAATAAAACAAACCCATATTGATGCCAGAACAAGTAAATCAGAATTTCTGGGGGTAGGGCCTAGTCATTAGTATTTTTAAGAGCTCCCCAGTCAAGTCTAATATGAAACACTAGTTTTAAAAAATGAACCTTTACTCCTATGTGCATAAGAAATTATCCAGGATCTCATTAAAAATGTAATTCCCATATCTTTCTCCCAAAGTGACTCTATACATATGGAGTCGGAATTCCAATAAGCTCCTCTAGTGATTCTAATGCAGGTGGTGCACAAAAACCATCTGAGAAACACAGAGGAATGCTCCCCTGTCAACCTCTAGCACAAATCTGGGTAAATGAGCACCACCTCTATCCAGGTGATTAGCTGCCGATTATAGATGGCCCCCAAAGTACCACTTCTCTCTCGCTGTAGTGACAGAGCCTGAACAAGGGCTACGTTTCAAGTCCTTTGCCTGTAGCCTTCTCCACCCCACCCCAACACACAATGGCGCGCACACACCTGCTCATATGAGATGGGTGCCTGCTTCTGGTGGGACAGCTCCATCAGGGTGCTCAGGTCTGTTCGCAGGTCTGTCTTGCAGCCAATAAGCAAAACACGGGTGCTGGGACAATAATCTAGGATTTCCGTCCTCCACTGAAGAGCCAGACAAAGAAGGGAAGTCAGGGGCTGACCTGCCCAGAGAAGCCCAGCTGGCACCATCACACGAATTAATATTTCACAAAGGAGGCAAGAACATACAATGGAGTCAAGACAGTCTCTTTAATAAATGGTGCTGGGCAAATTGGTCAGATACATGCCAAAAAAAATTAAACTGGATCACCAACTTACACCATACACAAAAATAAACTCAAAATAGTTAAAGACGGGAAACCATAAAAATCTTAGAAGACTCCATAGGCAGCAAAATATCAGACATATGACGTAGCAATATCTTTACCAATATAGCTCCTAGTGGAATGTAAACCAAGGAGAAAATAAACAAATGGGACTACATCAAAATAAAAAGCTTCTGCACAGCAAAAGAAACCATCAACAAAACAACAAGAAAGCCCACAACATAGTTGCCAATTCTATCTCAGATAAGGGTTTAATTTCCAAAATTTACAGGGAACTCATCCAACTTAACAAAAGGAAGACAAACAATCCAATCAAAAAAATGGGCATAGGACCTAAATAGACACTTTTTGAAAGAGGACATACACAAAGCCGAGAGACATATGAAAACATGCTCAAAGTCACTAATCATCCAAGAGATGCAAATCAAAACAACAATGAGATACCATCTCACACCTGTCAGAATGGCTGTCATCAACAAATCAACAAATGACAAGTGCTGGAGAGGATGTGGAGAAAAAGTAACCCTCGTGCACTGCTGGTGGGAATGCAGGCTGGTGCAGTCACTGTGGAAAACATTATGGAGATTCCTCAAAAAAGTAAAAATGGAACTCCTATTTGGCCCAGTAATCTCACTTCTGGAAATATATCTCAAGAAACCAGAAACACCCATCATAAAGGACATATGCTCACCTATATTCATAGCAGCACAATTTACAATAGCTAAGATTTGGGAACAGCCTAAATGCCCATCAGCAGTTTAGTGGATTGAAAAACGGTGGTGTATCTATACAATAGAATACTATGCTGCTATAAAAAAGAAGGAACTTTTACTTTTGAAACAGCATGGATGGATCTGGAGAGCAGCATTATGCTGACGGAAATAAGCCAGTCAGAGAAAGATAAATATCACTTGATCTCACTCTTTTGTGGAACATAATGAACAACATAAACTGATGAATGAAAGTAGATTCAGAGACTAGGAAACATTGAACAGACAGTGCAACCTCAGAGAGAAGGCAGGGGAGGCAGGGTAAGAGATAAACCAAAGGATTTTTATGCATGCATATTAGCATAACAAATGGACACAAACACTGGGGGTGGGGGCTTGTCCTGGGGGAAGGGAGTAGGGGGGCAGTTAATCAGGGAAAAAGGAGACATATGTAATACTTTAAACCAGTGGTTCTCAACCTTGACTGCAAATTAGAATCACCTGGGAATCTTTAAATTCCTGATTTCTGGGCCTCATCCTCCAGAAATTCTGTTTCTTTGTTATGGAGTGGGGCCACAACATTAGTAACAAAGAAACAGAATTTCCGGAGGATGAGACCCAGAAATCAGAATTTTAAAAAGATTCCCAGGTGATTCTAATGTGCAGCCAAGGTTGAGAACCACTGCTTTAAACAATAATAAATAAATAAAATAACCTTTAACAGCTGTGTTTAGTTGAATAACAAATTGAAAAAGTGAAGACACTGTTTTCTCCTGGTATTTCATCTTATATTGATTTTTTTTCTGGCTAAAAAATCATAATTCTAGTTTGATTCACCACTCTTCCCCCAAACATACACACACACACACACACACACACACACACACACATGCACACACCAGCCATCCTTTCAAGAAGTAGCCACCTTTTAGAAATCTTAATAAGAAGCTGAATAAGCATTTGAAAAACATGAGGACAGTGGATGAGCTAAGGAGTTGAGGATTTTGGAATGAAATTTTAATGAAGTTTTTCAGATCTTGTTTCTTTTATATCTGTAGGGACTGATGACTCTAGAGATATAACATCAAAGCTTGATTTCTCCTTGTTGCCTGAGTGAGGCAATAAGTAAGATAGAAACTCATTGAGTGAAAGACAGTAAATGGAGCAGATGATGGAAATAGAGGGTTTTCTCTTTCCTCAAGGAGGGGAGTGAGAGGTAGGGTAGCAAAGAGGTTTGTCTTCCCCTCTGGGGCGGGGGCAGCAGAAAAAACTGGTTCCTCTCCCCTCTCTCCTCTGTCTCTACCTAAAAACCCAAATGGATTCTGGATACTACTTCAGGATGTTTTGATTGATATTTGACAGCCATTGTGGGAACTCAGCTGCATGGAAGAAGGTATGGTTTTTCAATTTATCTTAGAGTATGTCCTCTCACGTTCTACAGCCACTCACCCCCCCCACACACACACACACACATACACATTCAGCAATACTTTGCAGCCACTGAATAGATTGTAGGAAGTTTTCCATTACCATTCCTTTTAGTACCATAAAATATCATAGAAATCATCGGGAAAGATGAAGGAAAGACCAGACTACCATATTCAGGTAGTTCTCCTCTACCAACTTGTTGAGGTTTTTGAACAGCAATTTCTGTGCTCCCTTTCTTGAACAACCCCAATATCTTGAGTATTGCATCTCCCAATGTAAGAGTATCCTGTCAGGAATGTTTTAAATGGTCGTCTGGGGTAAGGAGGGAGAAGAAGATGAGAACTACCACTTTTGGGGACCCACAATGAGTCAGGTGCTGTACTACTTTATATATGTAAACTGGTTAACTCTCACAGTAATACTATGGGGTAACAATTACTTTTGTTTGACAGATGAGGAAACTGGAGCTTAGAGAGTTTAAATGATGTTCTCAGCATCACATAGCTACTAAGTGGCAGAGCTAGGACTAGAAGTCAGCCTACTAACTTCTAATTAACACTGATTAATTCATTTTCCTCCACCCCCAGTTCTCTCCACAGGAAGATAGCACTATTTAAATATTAGCTGTTATTATCATTATCATGTATCACTTGCCTCTGGAACTGAAGTAGCTGTAGAGAGAAAAAGAAGTGAAACTGATATTTAGAAAAAACACTGTACTAGGCAATGAGGGACATATAACAATAATAGGCAACTACTTTTGGACTATAGACCTAAGGTTGATTTGGGATGTTTAATACCACAGCCCAGATTTATTAATATAAATCTTATATGTGAAATCAAGTATTTCAAACCAAGCCAACCAATTCCAATGTTATCACCACCACCATCATGCTGGAGCCATTCGCTAGGCCACAGAGTGCCTAGGTGAGAACTGAAGATTGTGAATGGTCATGATTTACTGGGTGGCTGGGGCAAAGTACACTTATTGTCTTAGAAACTTAGAGTAGCTATGTTCCACTAAATAAAATGTATAAAATAAACATTAAGACATTTTTATTATAATGTGCTAAAACAAACAATTTGGTAAGGATATAAAGTATGCAGATGTGGAAGATAATGTAATGTTATATAACAGGACAGGGGCTGCATTGCCAAGCTAACAGCAGTTTTATTCTTTTTCTCCCTGCCTTTGTTTCTTCATTATTTCTTAGGAAGCTACTAGTTTTGGGGTTTTTTTTGTTTTTTTAGTGTCAACATTTGATTTTCATTTTAATTTTCAGGGCATGTTTGCACTTAATTGGCACTGTGATAGGTTTTCTGCATGCTTGATTATAATCTAGTCTGGGCTAGAGTAATTTCCTTCTAAAGAAAATGAAGAGTACAACAGGCAATAAAATCCAGTCAAGTGAAGTGTGATGTCATCTGGCTTTCAACTCCAGGCAGAGTCCTGGATAAATGTGGCAGAGCCTTCCTGGAGAAAACCTGTTTTGTTGTCATTGTTTTTGTTGTTGTTGTTTAGATTGAGAGAAGTATTGCCAAGGTGCTAAGTTAGAGCCAGATCACTCATCTACTTAGGCCAATTTACATATATCTTAATTGCTTTTGGAAAAGTGTCATGACTTTGGCTGAGAAAAATATATATAAGATTGGTTCTTTTTTTTTTAACTAAAGCATTCCTCCAGTGTCCAAATCCCATCCTTGAGAGAATCTCTCTGTCTTTTTTAAAAAGATGCCTCAACATGGCTTGGCAGGCCATCCTCCTTGTTGCTATGGGCCCATATATAAAGTGGTACTTGGTGTCTTGTGGGAATGTCTTCTGTTATTGTCTTTCCTACACACATGGCTAGGTGGCTTGAGTGAGACAATTTTAAAAGCTTTGTTGTATTTTCTTTTATGCCTTTTTATTTTTCATCTTCCTATTAAAGTTGATATTCAATATTGTTTTATATTAGTTTCAGGTATACAGCATAGTGGTTAGACAATCATATAGTTTACCAAGTGTATCGCCAGATATGTCCAGTACCCACCTGACACCATACATAATTATTGCAATATTATAGACTATATTCTCTGTGCTGTTCTTTACATACCCTTGACTATTCTGTAACTACCAATCTGTACTCAATCCCTTCATTTTTTTCACCCAATCCCCCAACCCTATATTTTTATTGATTTCAGAGAGGAAGGGAGAGGGATAGAGAGATAGAAACATCAATAATCACTGCCTCCTGCACGCTCCCTACTGGGGAACAAGCCGGCAACCCAGGCATGTGCTCTTGATCAGAATTGAACCTGGAACCCTTCAGTCCATAGGCCCATGCTCTATCCATTGAGCTAAACCAGGAAGGGCTATGAGTCGGTTTCTATTTTGTTTGTTCATTTATTTTGTTCTTAGATTCCACATGTAAGTGAAATCATATGGTATTTGACTTATTTCACTGAGCATAATATCCTTTAGCTCTATTCATATTGTTGCAGATGCTAAGATTTCATTCTTTTTATGGCCGAATAATACTCCATTATATATATGTATTACATCTTCTTTATCCATTCATCTATTGATGGCACTTGGGTTGCTTCCAGATCTTAACTATTGTAAGTAACACTGCAATGAACATAGGGGTGCATATATTCTTTCGTATTACTATTTGCAGCTTCTTCAGATACATACCGAGAAGAGGAATGGTTGAATCATAAGGCAGTTGCATTTTTATCTTTTGAGGACACTCCATACTGGTTTCCATCATGGCTGCATTAATCTTCAATACCCCCAACAATGCACAAGGGTTCCCTTTTCTCCACATCTTCAACACTTGTTTGTTGATTTATTGATGATAGCCATTCTGACTGGTGTGAGGTAATATCTCATTGTGATTTTAATTTGCATTTCTCTGATGATTAGTGACATTGAGCATCTTTACATATGTCTATTGGCTATCTGCATGTCCATTTTGGAGAAATGTCTAGTTAAGCCCTCTGTCCATTTTTAATTGTTAGATGTTTTTTGTTTGTTTTTTGTTTTGTTTTGTTTTGTTTTTTGGTGTTGAGTTGTATATGTTCTTTGTAAATTTTGTATATTAATTCCTTTATCAGATGTATCATTGGTGAATATGTTTTCCCATTCAGTGGGGTGTCTTTTCATTTTGTTGATGGTTTCCTTTGCTGTGCAAAAACATTTTAGTTTTATGTAATCCCATTTATTTTTTTGTTTCCCTTGCCCAAGGAGTTATATCAGAAAGGACTTGTATGCATGCATATGAGCATAATCAATGGACATAAGACACTGGAGGGTAGGGGAAGTCAGGGGATTGTCAAGGGCGGGTGAAAAAAAGGACACATATGTAATACCCTTTGTAATACTTTAAGCAATAAAAAATAAATAAAAATAAAATAAATTTAAAATTTCTCTCTCATCGATGTTTCTGACTCTCTATTTCTCTCCCTTTCTCTCTGTAAAAAATCAATAAAATAAATTTAAAAAAAGAAAAGAAAATATAATGCTACAAAAAATGTCCTAGATTTTACTTCCTGTTTTCTTTTAGGAGTTTTATGGTCTTGAGACTTGCATTTAAATCTTTAATCCATATGTAATTTATTTTTGTCTATGGTGTAGAAGGTGGTCTAGTTTCATTTTTTTTGCATATATCTGCCCACATTTCTCAACACCATTTATTAAAGAGACTGTCTTGACCCCATTGTGTGCTCTTGCCTTTTTTGTCATATATGAATTTTCCACATAGGTGTGAGTTTATATCTGGACTCTCCAGTCTGCCACACTGATCTATATGTCTGTTTTGATGCAAGTACCATTCTGATTTGATTGCTTTAGCCTTGTAATATAGTCTGATTATCAGGGAGTGTGATACCTCCAACTTTTTTTCCTCCTTTCA